ATTGGTAGGTTTGTTTGTGTAAAATTGTGCCTTATATAAATAAATATAACAGCTTTTAACCGTCAATGAAGTAAATCAATTAATAAAGGAACACCTTATGGCCGTTTCTGCCTAACGTTACTTGTCCCATTTGGTAAAGGAATTAAACCCTAGTTTCTTCTATTAATCATCCACCTGTTTTAGCTAGAGCATTTGACTTATTGGTAGAAAGACATTGATTAAATGGAGTGGTTTGTAACAAATGTAAGTTTGTAAGTCTATGCTAATAATTCACTTTACTGAACTGTAACCAAAGCAAATATATAATGAGAGTTAATGATAATTTTAGAATTCTACATAATCAACCTTTTGTGTGTGTGTGTGTGTGTGTGTGTGTGTGAAGATAAAAGAATGCTTAGGAAAACAAAATTTAATCAGTGAACGCCCATATTGGATGGAATGACACTTGCACCATTATTGTGGGAGAAGTGAAGAACTGTTCTATCCAATCAGTAATCCCACAACTCGTTATTCTTGGATTTTTGAATGGTATTTTGCTAAGAGACACACGTAAACAACAACTAAGTTATTGGGACGGTGAAAACGACTTTCTTCCATGCTTTATTTGGCATAGCTCTATCCATCTATAATGGTTTACTCAAAGATAAATGTATATGTTTATTCTCACAATAATGAAAGAGACATACATAAAATCATGACGGTGGATATAGGCTTCGATGTAACTCATTGATTGATTCTATGCATAACAAGAGTAATTGATGATAACACGTCGTAAAAACTTTACTCAATAATCGAAAGATTTATATGATAGAAAAAAATTTGTGTATGATTTCTTTTTTCGATTTTATCGTTATTCTTACTTTCAGGAAAGATTTTTTTCTTAACTTTTTGAATATTGTGAATTGTATGTAACAAATCGACTTCGTAAGAAAAATTTTTGTGAAACGAATAAATTTATACGTTGTTTTATGTGAGATTAGGGCAATAACAATTAGGAACACGTTAGTTGACCTTCACTATTTCGGCTGGACTTGAACGTTGGGCACAAAATCTGACCAGCTTAAAAGTACGTCACGAACTCTAAGCTATTGTTTAGTTAGAATCCTCTCCATATGTACATGCGAAATAATAAGCATATAATTAATCAAAACATTGAGCATAACTTAAAAATCAAGTTATATTCTTTTGAAATGGATTTTTCTTCGTGTAAGTTTCAACAGAAAAAACTCGATCAACTAAATCTGGACGATAAAACGTTCTAATTCCTAGTTAAGACAATCATTTTAAGACGAAAAAAATATACATACATTAATTAAAAATAATAAGACCAGAAAAAGATCGTCTAGCAACGTGATGCAATGTGACGAAGAAATGAATATGATGCTTTAATTTCTTACTTCAAGTGTGAGTCCTATCTAACCTTGCAATTTGCATGAAACAATGTTTGACGAGATGACCCTTCAGGTTGACCTATAGCCAGGCGTAAAACACCACAAAAACTTCTTCGATCATCATCAATTTCAACATAGAATATTTTCAAATTGTGCCTTCCATATATCAACTATCAACAACGTAAAAAAATATGGCTTTTCAGATTGAATAAAAGTCATGGCATTCATGATCTTATTCAAGAAAAAAAAAAAAGAAAAGAAAGCAAAACAAAATGTAGAGTACCACCTATCCGCAATTGCTGGTTGATTGGTTGGTGTCCAAATTAAAGTTCAATGGCTAGATAATTTGAGTTCATGTGCGCAAAGTAACTTGGACTAGTTGAATTTACCATTTACAAAAGCGGTTAGAGTTTTAAGTTGAGCCCCATTCTTTAATCGATCTTAATGCTAATTTAAAGTGTGAAATATAACAATCATTTTGAAAATTTAAATAGTCAAAAAGATAGATAAACATATTATATCATCTACATATTCTAGCTATCTTAATTTTTTTAAATACCTCGCACTCTAGACACAACAAGAGATTATTGTTTTATACAGAAGAGAGAAAGAGAGTAATGTTTAATTTAGAGTGTTTTATCATGATCATCGTTATAAGTTAATTTAGGGGGAAGATTTTTCCAGCCACAACTTTTAGTTCTTTCAGCCACAAATTTTCAATTTTGGTCCATGTCATTTGATCAAACCAAATTGAAGGAGAGAGAGATGGAGAGAGAGAGAGAGAGAGAGAGAGAGAGAGAGAGAGAGAAAGCCACCCGGATCGAATCGGACAAGTCATCCGGTCCGATTCACGTGAGAACGGACAAATTATTAATTTTTATTTTAATGTTAGTTTATTCGCGGTATTGTTGCATGTTGAATATCTCGTACTTTAAATATTATTAACAATATTTATACTTTAGTGCTTAAACTCTCAATTTTATATTTACTTGAAAATAAACAAGTAATTAGTTTTTACTTGAAAATAAATTTAAGATTATTCGTTAAGTTAATTTATTTGAATTGATATTAAAATATAAAATTTTGCTTCAATCATTATTTTTAATATAATTTTTAGTTAAAAATAATAATTATACAGTTATAATAAAAAATAATAATTGTACTACAAAGATTGTGACAAATATGTACAAACAGATTAACTATTTTTTAGACTACAAAGATTGGTGATACTTAATATATCTCAAATAATAAATTATTCATAAACTTAATGAATAAAGATTTTAATGACCTGAAAACTAGATTAACTAATTACAAAAAAAAATCAAAAAATTAAAAAAATAGCAATGAATCCAATTGATATTTTTTTAATTTTTTATATAACAAATATTGTTATTTTTTAATTACAAAAAAATCTAAAAATTAAAAAAAAAATGGGCCTGATCGAACCAGTTCACCATATCGGACCGAACCAAGACCGACCGTGCAATGAAACCGTCCCGAGTTAACACGGGACAGGTGGACCGCCCGTCCACTTGTTCGCCCGAACGGGTTCATTGCCTGTCCCGAGTGGTTTCGGTCGACCGACCGTGCAATGAAACAGTCCCGAGTTAACTCGGGACGGGCAATGAATCCATTCGGGTAAACAAGTGGGCGGGCGGTCCACCCATCCCAGGTTAACTCGAGACGGTTTCATTACACGGTCGGTCGGTTTTTATTTTTTATTTTTTAGTTTTCTCTCTAGTCAAATTATTTGATTTGAAAAAATGATAGGGGTAAAATGGTTCATATTAGAAATTTGTGGCTGAAAGAACTAAAATTAGTGGCTTGAAAAACTAACACCCTTAATTTAAACAGTTTATAGAATTATCTCACCAATTACTTAACCCAAATGAATTCAAACTTTAAACATTACCGTGTGACAGTGTCAGGAACGTTCCAAATCTATATCATAAAACTATTACTTAACAAAATATTTTTTAAAATGAAGAAAGAGATTAAAAAAAAAATTCATGTGCAAGATAGTACGTATAATGATGGGAAAGGAATCAATGAGGGGATAATTTTTATTTTTTTTTTCAAATCCGGTGGCCGTTTTTGGAAGTGAATTGTACATAGGGTTAATCCGTACGAAGTGGCCTCAATATTCAAACGTAGGATGTTTGCGTCCTGTCGAGTGTCTTCCCTTAAATTCCATTTCCACCACTCTTCTTCTCCATCTCACATGCGTTTTGCTCTCTCTTAAGCAAACTGCAAACCTATTTGATTCTGTTTGTCTAGCCCTCCCCTAATTATGCCTTTTCTATCATGTTGGAACTTCAATTCAAAAGCATCTTCTGCCTATATTTGTCACCATGAAAAAACGAAATTGCCTATTTTTCCTAAGGACTTTTTTAACAAGGAACATTCAATATGGGGGTCATTTTCGTAGACCCAATTGGCCATTTAATTCTGTCAATTCTCGCTTTGATGAATTACAGACCATAAAAACCAATTCATGAGAGGAGGGGTTGAAAGTTATCACCAATTAATTAGGTACTTAGTTGACCGTAGTTAATTTTATTTTTTTTTATTTTTATTTTTATTTTTTGCATGTAGCTTTCTATCTCATGTAGTTTCAACCAATGTATGGTAAGGTGACTTTAATTGGTGAGAGGTCATGTGTTACTTTAACCTTACAAAATTTCATTAACATCATGTATATTGATAATCACGTATATTACATTCGTCTCAAAATATTTATCATAATCTCTTTTCGTTTCTCCTTTTTCCAATCCATATGTGTCACTATAACCAAAATGAAATATCCTCATACATCATATCTCTAGTTAATACTTAATGGTCGTAGATCAATTCAAGAGCCTCGGGAGGTAATGAGATTTGAACCATTTATGTGTAAAGATTTTTTTTGCTGCCTAATAACGCAATCTCGTAAATACAAGTTTGTGCATTAATTAGTTGAGGTAGTACAATTTTTTTTTTTTTCATACAACAATGTACTAGAAGAACATTTTATACTTTCTTTTTCCTTATAGATGACAATTTATAACGACTCTCTATGATGAGTAGAAACGGTAATATTGAAAAGGTAACTTGTAGTGATTTTCTTAATCAGTGAATTGATGGTTACTTTTGTTATTGTTTGTCTGAACAATTTTATCTTGATCATATCAGTTACATTATCAAATTTTAATCATCATAGTCTAAATTTGACTCTTTGGTGAGAACTATGATCTACATACAAATGCGTGTAGCACTAAATGACATCAAAATTAATTGGGTAGCACCAAATGACACCATTTTGTTTATTTCATTTTACTACTAGTACAGTAGTAAAATGTATATAACCCACGATTTATGATATACAAATCTCCTTTACATTTAAATAGAGACGCGCGTAAAAACAATTCTCGTTATTAAAATATTTCAATCTTTCCCTTATAAGAGAGTATCAAGAAATATGGAATTATCACTTCCAACTGGATAATTAAAAAGACTTTAATAATTGCAGCAAAACTTGTTACAGTACTAGGTAAAAATTAGTATTTAATGATGATGTAACTTGTAAGAGAGATTCTGTAGCCGACCGGAATCAACCGGCTGCCGTCAAACCGGTCCCTCAGAAACACACACACACACAGTTTGTCTATTACCCGGTCCGAATATTTCGATGAACCCAGATTTCACGCCTCCCGAGTCGATGCCTTCTTCTCTTTTCTCCCTTCGCTGTAATAAAAACAAAATTCCTTTCCTCCAAGTCCAACCTTCAGTAAGAACACAATTCCGATTTTCTACTAATTTCCTTAATTATATCCACTTATTTAAACCTCCGCATTTTTTTTATTTTAATATCCAATATCCCTTACTCAAATTTGGAAATTTCCATTTTTTCCTCCAACTTATTCTTTTTAAAAATTATTTTTAAACCCCAAAGATAAATCTCGATCTCTTTAATTTTTGGCGTCAGAATCTTTCTTCTTCTCCTCTTCACTATTTCTCTTTTTTTCTCAACCAATCTATACGTTCTTTCCCTTTTTGATATCTGTTATTACTGTAAAATCCTTTGATTTCTCGATTATTTTTTGTTCTCGGTACCATCGCCATCTATTTTTAGTGATTTTTTTCTATTGTGGGTTTGGGGTGGGTGGATGACGCAATTCATGCGGTGGGTTCTAATTTCTGCAACTGGGTTGAACTCATTTTTGTATGATAAGAAGGTTTTCTGAAGCTCAATTGTGAGAGGGAGAGAGGTGGGCACTTTGATTGGATAAATGTGAAAGGAATTGGGTTTTTGGATGTGATTTTTTCGTTGCTGTTGTTTCTGGGTTGTGATTTGATTAAATGCTCCTAGGTGGGGATCTAGGGTTTTTAGCTAGAGTAGTTGTGGCGGGATTGGTGGTTGTCTTTGCTCCGGTTTTTGGGTTTTTGGTCCGCCGGAAATGGCGGCGGTCGGTGGCCAGGCAGGAGGAGATCAGACGGCTTCTGATTTTGGCTTCGGCTTCTGAGGAGATTGAGAGGGAGGAATTTGAGGCCGAAACTGGGTTTATCAGTTATGGTGATGGGTTTAGCTATGGCTTCCGGTCGGCCTTGGACGTGGAGGCAACCGGAGTAATAAAGGAAATAAAGCAGGAAGAGGAGCAGCATCATGTTGAATCAATGGGGCCCGTGGTGGAAATGCCCGTTCAAGCTCCGGATAGGGTTCAGTTGCCGTCCGGCTGTGCGGCCTGCGGTTTGCCCACCACCCGGCGATGCGCCCAATGCAAGGCTGTTAAATACTGGTATCAGCCTGAAAATTTTTCTTCTCTTTTTCTCTTGAAATTCACATCTCTTCTTCTCCTTTGCTTATATTCCTCTGTTTTCGCCATTACTGAAGAATTTAGGATATTCTTTGGTGCCCAACATTAGATTTCTGTTTCAGGTTTAGTGACTGTGTGCAGATAAAAATTATCGAAATGGGTGAAATGCTTCATAGATTATTGCAGTGTAGGAGTTAATTGCCCTAACGAAACATATTAGACTTTTAAGGGAAATTCAAATCTGGAAGTTGAGCAGTTAAGTGGCTCTGATATACGAAGTTCATGTTTTTGAGACAGTTGAAATGATCTCTGATGAGTATCATCTTTGAATTGGATTACCTTGCCACAAGATGAGTGCCATCTTCTTGAGATGATGAATTTTGGGCATTTGTAGGGTTTATGGTGTAGGCGCCGCGTAATTTGTATTAATAGATTTTGGGATTGCTGCTTTGGTTGAATTTTGGATCTTGTTTAGCACTTGCATTTGTGATGCTGTTTTCACCCCATGGGTAGTTTTGGCTTAGACTGGAAAAAAAAAAAAAAGAAGCTTTAGGAGATTTTCCCAAAAAATGATGATTATGTTCTTTGTGGATGCACTTCATTTACTTGGCTCTTGTGATCCATCTCCTTAAATGTTTGGATGTGTTTGTTTTTGATTAAATCTTCTACTGTAAAATTATATGTGTAATCAGGGATAAAATTCTGGAGCTCTGTTTTGGAATTTCCACTAATGTCTGGAATATTGCCTTAAATCTTTTTTTCTGGCATTGTAAATAGGCAATGCCCTAGAAAATTGTGGCACAGAAGATCAATTTGACCTTTCTTTTTTCTTTCAGTTACTGGTGTGAAGTTGTTTCTGTTACTCATGATATGTCGCTGTGTTTATGCTGAATAATTAAATTAGTTCATTTTGAATTTTCTTATTGCAGCAATGGCAATTGCCAGATCAAACATTGGAGGGAAAGCCACAGAAATGAATGTCGACCCTTCCCAGCTAGTGACCAAAGCCATGAAATGTGGGACTCTTCTTCGTTGAAACCGTCAAAGAACAAAGAGAGTGAAACCCGCAGCAATGTAGCTCCGACAGGTGATAGACATCTTCCTGACACAGCTGGAAGGCATCCTAAGGAACCCAGATATCCTGATTCCGATATCCCAGAGTCGTTGGGCAGGGATGAGTATGCTGCTACAGAGATATTTACTGAAGAAAATGCCTCACATTCTTCTTTATCATCTTCGAGTGCTGATGGATGCTCTGAGTCCTCTTCGGGACCTTCTACACCCTCTTCTGGATTTTGGGATGGTGATTTACATTCACGAGGGACATCACCTTTCACTCCTGACCAGGGTAGATCTTTTCTCTCTCAGAAAGGTGTTGCAGGAAATGTTGACAATATAGTCTTACCAGAGAGGATTTCTCCTCCTGTATCTGTAATCAAGAAGCCAACAAATGGATCATCTGAAGAAATAAAAGTGAAAGTGAATAAAGGTTGTCTGGATACCCAAAGGTCATTAAGAATAAGTTCTGAAACACATGAGGCTGTTAGAGCCAGTATTTCCAAAATCGCAAAAGTGGCAACTCGAGCGGAAGCTGCTCTCAGTTTAGAATCTGAAGCCAGTGTTTTGTCATCCGGAATAAGTTCAGAAACAGTTGAAGACGTTACAGCCAAAAATTCCAAATCCGTGAAAGTGACAGATTGTGAGAAGACTGCTCGAAGTTTAAAAGCTGAAGCCTGTATTCTGTCTCCATCAACTGTCACTAAGCAAAGTACCAAAACTTCCAGCCAAAGAAGTATCTCCCAGGAAATAAAAGCTTCTGATGATGTGATTGTTTCTGACCTTGGAAGGCACCCGGTTCAAACTGTGAAATCTGTCAAAGCTGAGAAAGCTCATGGCTTCCCTCCTTCCTCTACAGATTCTCATGTTGTTACACAGAATGGTGCAGATAACATCAAACCCTCAGTGTGGAAGGTCGTTGACCAACTCAGAGCATCAAAATTAGCACGATTGAGTACGGTAGGAGTTGCTGTTGAGAATGTTACAAGATACAATAGCAAGGTACTTTTAAAATCCAATTGATTGCGTTCTGCATTTTCCTGAAAAGCTATGAAGATGGCACTGATCCACTTGTAAATTGTTTATTTACAGGGTCTATTTCCATATGATATGTTTGTGAAACTTTATCACTGGAACAAGGTTGAACTGCGTCCATGTGGGCTTGTTAATTGTGGGAACAGGTATGAAGTTCTTCATGCTCAATATCTGTGAGCCATACTTCCGCTTTTATCTGGAGTCTTACGTGCTGCCTATTGCGTACCTTGTTGCTTGAACCTAAATACCAATGTTGTGTGAGTTTGGTTTATTTATGGCGGATCAACTTAGTCAATACTGCATTTGGTGGCTGGAGTTGCATTCCTTGTGAAAATTTCGATTTCATATATCCTATAATTCTAAATTATTTAATCTTGGTATGGCACGCTGCTTTATGGAAAAATTTTCTGTCATTAATAGGAAAATGCAGAAACCTGCTCTCATTTTTTTCTTGACTAAACTCTGAAGGGTTTCTTGATCCTGGGTATGAAATTTCTCCCTTCTGTTGTTATGGTGGCTTCTCTCTGGTTTACTTTTGTATATATTTGTGTACTGCTCATTAGTGGCTGACTTGGAACTGAGGTTATGTGTCATTTGGATATGTGTATTTATTAGAATTTCTGAACTTCCTAGGTTAATTGATAAAGTGCTCACTTCTAATTAATAGTTAATAGATCCATGGTTAACATTTGTCTTTTATCTCTGTATCAACCCCTTGTTATTGGAATTCAAGAGACTAATGAAAGCTGTTATTCCTTGATAAAAAGTACAAGAAGATTCTAGGTGGTGAAAATAGTTGACAATGACTTATGTATACTGTTGGACTTCTTGCAGCTGCTATGCTAATGTTGTCCTCCAATGCATGTCTTTTACTCCACCTCTCACGGCCTATTTTCTTCAGGGGCTGCATTCTAAATCTTGTAAGTATCGGTTTAAAGTTCTACTTGCTCGATATCACCGAGTAGTTCACTATGTTTTTATTTTCTGCTATGCATTTGTTTTAATCAAAAGATTCTATGCTTGAATTTCAGGCCAAAAATCAGACTGGTGTTTCACTTGTGAGTTGGAGAACTTGATTCAGAAAGCTAAGGAGGGAAATTCTCCTATCTCTCCGAGTCGAATTATATCCCAATTGCAAAACATTGGCAGTCAACTTGGGCATGGAAGAGAAGAGGATGCGCATGAGTTTCTCAGGTTAAAACCTATACGATACCCATTATGAACTTAAGTTCTTTACTTTTTGTAGCTCAAAAACTTGATCGTATGAGTGATTACTAATGGCAAACTTAACTGTAATGTACTTGTACAGGTGTGCCATTGATACTATGCAAGATGTTTTCTTGAAGGCTGCTGGGGTCACTGCATCAAGCTCCTTGGAAGAAACAACACTTTTGGGGCTTACATTTGGGGGTTACCTGAGATCGAAGGTACGTGCAGTCCGCGTGAAATTATACTGACTGAAAATATAATCCCCTCGAGTGTATCTGAAACTGCATATGATTGATAATTCCCTTTTGAAACTGCAGATAGAATGCATGAGGTGTGGTGGCAAATCTGAGCGGCATGAAAGAATGATGGATCTGACAGTTGAAATAGAGGGAGATATTGGAACCTTAGAAGAAGCGTTGCGGCAGTTTACCCATACAGAAACTCTAGATGGTGAAAATAAGTACCACTGCAGCAGGTTGGCAGATACATTTTAATGTCTATGAGTTCCATTTACAAATATTAGCATATGGTGTTTCAGTATCTTGTTTCTAGATAATGGTTCTGAACTGGCATTGCTCTTGATGTGAAGATGGTTTAGTGGATGGCATTTAACTGCATAGTTTGTATTCATTTTTATCAGCTTGTCGATACTTACAGAATATGGATACTTGTGTCATAGTTGGAATGTTGTTATTTGTGCGTCTGCAAGAGATCAATGTTTGTGCATGGTGTGCTTTTCCCTAGTTCTTGCATCTGATCTGAAGTGAAGGGAGGAAGACACCATGACTAACTGGCACTCATACAGGATTACTTCCACGATCAATTTAGTCGTGGTCTTTTTTTTTTTCTTTCTGTTTTTGTTTATTTTATCACCCTTGGGTGATTGAAATTTTTTGGTGTTTCATTGTCAGCTTTGTGAATTTTTAAGGTTCCCAATACCTTCGGCTTATAATATTTATCCATTTCTTTAAACCCTCCCCTTGACTATGAAAAATCAGTCTATCAGAGCCACTTTTAACCCAACTTAAGTTCACTGATTTGTTTTAATATTTTCTCTTTGTATTCTAATTGAGTCGTGATCATTTTTTCTTTCATGTTTGGTTGTCTTAACCAGATGCAAATCTTATGAGAGAGCCAAAAAGAAATTGAGAGTGTTGGAAGCGCCGAATATTCTTACTATTGCTCTCAAGAGATTTCAGGTAGTGTAATTTACATACTTTTCATTGCTTTTTCATCTTCCTGCTCTTCATTATGCTGATTGGTCACAATGTTAATGTTTTGCAGTCGGGTAAGTTTGGGAAGCTGAACAAAATGATCAAGTTTCCGGAAATTCTAGATCTCGCCCCGTATATGAGTGGCACCAGTGACAAGTCCCCAATCTATCGGCTATATGGAGTCATTGTACACTTGGATACCATGAATGCTTCATTTTCTGGGCATTACGTTTGTTATGTTAAAAATTCTCAAAACAAGTGGTTCAAAATTGATGACAGCACGGTAAGCCTGAAACCACTGGAGAAGTTTCTCTATTGACTCTCCCTTCGTGTCCTACAATTTGGTGGTCATGTTTTTGGACATGTTACTTTTATTCTTGCAGAAAAGAAAATTGTGTTTAGAGTCATCTAAAGGTCCATTCGTGTTGAATATATTTGAAAATTGTGAAAAGAGTTTGTTTACATTTCATGCTACTATTCTGAAATGGGCATATATTTTCAGTAGGTGTGTTTGGTGTGAGTCTCAAGTCTTGAGGATTTTAATTGAGTTGTTGCTATGGTTACAGGTAAAAGGTGTGGAACTTGAGAGGGTCTTGACAAAGGGTGCTTACATGCTCCTGTATGCCAGGTATGACATCCTTTGATATGTAGTCTTTTGGTGTGAACGGCAGAGTTATCTGGAAGGGTTTTTTTTTTTTTTTTCTTTTTTTTTCCCCCTTTGGGGTGGGTGTGCTGGTTTGAGAACACCCTTATCCCGTTTAGTCGAAACATTTTTAACTTAATAACTTATCTTTTAGGTGCTCACCACGAGCTCCGAGGCTAATAAGGAAGTCAAAGCATCAAGATTCTAAACCACGAGATACGATCAGGGGTTCTTGGGATGCTTCTTGTAATAATTCAAAGAGTGATGAAAACTTTAGTCCCAACTATTCGCGCTTCAATATATCTCGTCAAATTTGGGAGGATTCTTCCAGTGACAAATCATCCTCACTCTTCTCGGAAGCTCCTTCTTGCAGTACGGAGAGCACCAACCGTGATTCAACATGTGCGGATGATTTTTTCGCTGACCAGATACTTGAAGATTCGGGGGGATTGTGGGGTGGTTCTTGGAGAAATTCCTCTGATTCAGAGACTTCATCATCGTCATCTTCTCCTTCACCCTGGTCTTTGAGGCATGCATCCATCGATCTAGAATCATATGCTTCAAGGTATCCGGGAACAAGGAGTGAACATTATTCCGATTCTGCTGTTTCAGCTTCAGCAAGTCAACACAATTCGAGGCTTTCTCACCAATGTGAAGTGGAGGTCACAGAAGGTGAGGGAAGAACTTTTTTGCGTCATGACTCGAGTAAACAGACTAGAAAGTTAGGTAGCTGTAGTAGTTGTAGGGAGAGCGGCTCCAGTAAGTTAGGATGGGCTAATCCTTTTGAGAACTTCAAATCTAATGTAACTTTTAGACGGTCGACAAGGGGATGATCATTCAGATTGAACATCCATCCCGCTATGCATATGAAGTTGCTAAGTTAGAGTTCTTCGGAAAATAATGAACTTGTAGAGGGGGGTGGTGGGGGTTTAGAGAGTGGCTGTATATGTGTATCATATTCTCGCTTGTTGGCTGCGTTGAAGAAAACCAAAAAGAAAAAAAAGGGCCATCATTTCGTCACTCTCTTCCCCTCGATGTAATCTAATATATATATTTTGTTAATCAAATGTCTATTTTCCAATTTCCTATCCAAATCTTCCTGCTAGCTGTTTTTTTGAAAAAAAAGGGTTTTTGTATATTAATCAGAAGTACCTAAACTATTACAACGACATGCATCATAAACTAGATTATGTAATTTTTCAACTTCGTTCCTGCTAACTTTAATCAGTTGGCAGGAGTAAAATGTTAAAAATAAAACTAATAGTAACGAAACACTATAGGGAAGATTGTTTTGTAAGATTGAAATAGGGAAGCCTGTCAATTTGCTTCACATTAGGAATTGTCGCACCATGGTCGGACCCTCAAATAGTCGAAGCCTGTGGAGGATTAGGAAGCAAAAATGGCAAAGACAGATTTAAAGGAAGAAACATTCACTTGGGTCGATTGGGGGGGCAAAAACCATAGGCCAGAATCCCCATCAGATGTAATGTTTTGTAACCACAGCCAATGAATGTGACCCAAATCTATGAGAGTATTGACCCCGGAGATGGTATGGGCCAATATAGACAACTTTAATTTCATACCTGGTGTATATATTCAAATCTGATCTTGAATATTATTTTTTATCGTCTTAAAATAATTATTTTATTTCTTAATCTAAAATCGACAAACAAAAGAGCGTGTTTAGAGTACCGGGAATACATGTGATTTTTTTTACAATGATCCTTGAATTTTTAGATTTTTATAGCAAGAAATTTCAAACTAGTACTAAATAGATCATGCATAATTTACATGTATCACTATACTAGCATTCTGTAGTCACGATTGATGAATTTGGGGGTTCTGGTCTCTCTACTTTTATGGGCAAAGGAGTGAACACGAAGATTTGACACTTTTCTAAATTTTGAATTTTGTATTGACTTTTTTTTCTCCCCCTCCATTAAGAACCGCACTCACAATTATTCTAGTATACTACAATTGAGTTGAATTCCTTATAACCCTATTCCGGCGCTAAATTGAGCAAAGAAAATCTGTATCCAGAAAAAACATCACCACTACTACTGGTGTAGCCTAGATTTTCTTCATTAATTTTCAATTGTATAAAAATAGTTGTTTTACGCGTGAGAGAGCCAATTTCTACGTTTAAAAAAAAAAAGAAGAAGAAAAGAATGGAAGGTGAAATACTTTATTGGGACTAAGAATTTTTAATGTGGTAAAAACATGAGATGGGAGAAGTTACTTTGGATCACGTGAGGATGTTACTTGATAAGAAAGGCAAGAATTAGTTCATATTTTAATCGGACAGTTTTGTAAGCTTGCAAACGGTTAACATTCATATCTCAGATAAAATAACGTTATTCCTAACTCCTACCAAAGCTATCTGCATCACGTTCACTAATAACATAACACAAACAAGACGATTATTGAATCATCCTTTTTTATTATCATTATTTTATACTTTCTCCCGTTCTAAAAAAAATCGTTCAATTAAAATTTTTAATTTATTAATACTAAAAATAAAATTCTAAAAGAATTGAAAAAATTAACACATCGGAAAGTGGAGGAATGTATTCAAATGGGGAGAATCCACCGCTGTAGAACTACGGAAATTTCTCAAGCATTTAGAAATAGTGATATATCAGAATTTTAAATGATTTTTTCCTCGTATTATATGGGGAAAAAGTCGGTAGCCTTTCTTTTACGTGTCACCCAAGCCAGGGATTAGGGTTTTTTTTTTTTGGTACTTTATATATACATGGCCAAAAATAGCACAATAATTTGTTCTCGGAATATTCAAACATGCTGATGATCCGGCGTTTCGGTGATGGTGGTTGGATGAAGACCAAGGAGGATTATAATTTTATGTCAGAGGTAACTTATGGGTTGTTAATTTAGGCAGAATGGTAAGATAAAGGATGCTTCACCTAATGTAAAATTTCTTAACTTTGTTCCCAAGCCCTAAAAAGAAACACCCCAAAAATGGCAAGTACCTTACAACAATTGTCAACTGCAGGAAAGAATAGCAAAATGTCAAATTAAATTAATACAATATATCTTCTGGTATGTTATATAATCGCGTAATAACTCCAAAATTTTTTTTCCCTTATTTACACATAATGAGAAATGAAACAAGTTGAGTAAGCATCGCAAATTAGAAAAGTCGCATCATTGTCTTCATTTTGGATATCTATGTGGCATACAAAGATGTAAAATTTCCAACTGCTGTCAGATCAACGACATTCAAATTTTCAAACCACAGCTTGCAACTTGCAAATTAAAGTGTATCGACTTGGAGATGCCATTTTCTACAGTATATCCCAACTAATTCCACAATAGGAAAACAGTACGAGGAATTTTCCCTTCATTGAAAATGAGAATTTGTGATTATGAAGTCGGAAGACGGTGTTATAATATGGTAAAAAAAGTTATTCATATTTCTATCTGTCCCAAAATTATTATCCAATTTAAATTTTTATTTTTAGTATAATTTGTACAAAAAGTTGAAATTCAAACTGAATGGCTTTCAATTTAATTTGCCTTGGCTAGGTTTGCTTAGATGAAAAGAATGTACGTAACAAAGGTCCAAATGTCCAAAGGCAAATCTCTCCAAGAATCAAAAGAAAGGCACACTACAGTGAAGTAGTATGTTTTTCCCCCGAAAATTTTGAACCATCATGTAATACTCAATAATAAATTTACGTTCCAAATAAAAGGGAAAGGAAAAAAAAAAAAAAACTCATTCAAAGCCTCTTTCTCAGACACTAAACTAACTGACTTATCTAGTGAACTTGATATAAACTAAGATTCCCTGTTTTCAATTCTCACATCCATCAGATGATCCCGAATGTAGAGGAAATTTATCACATACATATATGATGCCATTGCCCATATTCTTTTCCTTCTTTATTCTTTTTACCGGACAGTTCCGCAGTAAGAGTGGCATACGTTCCGGCTTTACTCTCACAAAGTCTAAAGTCCCAAGTATTTCTATCGTTCAACTTAGCTATTAGTTGAAAAAAAAGTTTTGAATCAGTAAATCCTTAGATCAAATGGTAAACACGTTCAGTTTAATTATGGCCAAAGTTCATATCTTGATATAGCTAGACACGTGTTAGTGATTTGAATACTTGTCAAATTTTCTGTTAGAGTAAGTAAATATATATATATATATGTAAATTTGTAATGTTGTATTTACTTATTTACGGTTTTACTCCCTTGTAACAAAACCCTAACCCTAAATATATATATATATATATATATATATATATATATACATGTGTTGCCGATTCAGAGCAACTTTTGGCTGACAAATTTATGCTGCCTTTATTCCTGTTTGGTATGGTATCACGAGCAAGGTCATTCTTGTTCTGAAATTTTGCAAAAATTTTTTACGATCATGGTTGAGGTTGATGATCGTGTTCAATCGTCCGGTCCCAAGGATAAGGCCGTTTCTACCAGAGGAAGAAATCACGATGCAGCAAATCGGTGCAAGACATCGCCGTATGATTTAACGGGCAATGATATACCGGGATCAATGATCACCAATGTCCAGTTCAAAGGCCACAACTATGAAGAACGGTCACGCACCGTTCGAATGGCTTTACAGGCTCGGAAGAAATTTGGATTTCTTGATGGTTCGATCCCGCCGCCTGTCGATGATGATGATTTTCTGGCCGATTGGTGGGGTAACAACAGCCTTCTTTGTTCGTGGGTGTTGAATACCTTTCATCGTATGATCTTCATCTCTCGGTACTTGTGTATGTCGATGATCTCATTATTTCTGCTAATGGCAGTTCTGCCATTTTTCGCTTTAAGCAATACTTGAGTGATTGATTCCATATGAAGGATCTTGGGTTTCTTAAGTATTTCCTGGGTATTGAAGTTGCTCGGAATTCTACGGGAATTTTATTGTGTCGGCGCAAGTATGTTTTGGATATTGTTTCAGAGGTCGGCTTATTGGGCGGCAAACTTGTTGATTTTCCTTTAGAGAAGAATCATAGTCATCCGCTGGTTGGTGCTAATTCTTTACCTGATCCTGAGCGTTATCGGCGATTGGTTGGTCGCCTCATTTATTTGGCAGTTACTCGTCCAGAATTGTCTTATAGCATTTATATGTTGGCACACTTTATGCATTGCCCAATGCAAGCTCACTGGGATGCTGCTCTTCGGGTTGTTTGCTATTTCAAAGGTACCTCTGGTCAAGGGATTCTTCTTCGGGCTGATAGTGACTTACAGTTATATGCTTGGTGCGATTCTAATTGGGCCAGTTGTCCTATCACTCATCATTCCCTTACAGGTTGGTTTATTCAGTTGGGGACATCTCCTATTTCTTGGTGAACCCAGACGCAGCATACTGTTGCATGTTCTTCTGCTGAAACTGAATATCGAGCTATGGCTACTACCACTTGTGAGTTGAAGTGGTTGAAAGGTGAGTTGCGTAATCTCGGTATTTCTCATTCTCAACCCATGCGTCTTCACTATGACAGTCAGGCTGCTTTACATCTAACCGCTAACCTTGTTTTTCATGAGCGTACTAAGAATATTGAGGTTAACTGTCATTTTCTTCGTGATGCTTTGCTGTAAGGCCTTATTTCTGCTTTTTATGTTTCTACTCATGAGCAACTTGCTGATATTTTCACTAAGGCCTTAGGCAAACATCAGTTCAATTATTTCCTTGGTAAGTTGGGCATTCGAAATCCCCATGCTCTATTGAAATATATATATATATATATTTTATATATATATATATATAAATTTGTAATTTTGTCTTTACTTATTTACAGTTTTACTCCGTTGTAACAAAACCCTAACCCTAAATATATATATATATATATATATACACATGTGTTGCCGATTTAGAGCAACTTTCGGCTGACAAATTTATGGCGCCTTTATTCTTGTTTGGTAATTTCTTCTTCTAAGTGGAATTTATCCTACTCGAATCAAAATAAAAATGATAATTAATTGAAATATCGAGTATGTAAGATGTCAAAACTCACAAAAGAAAATGAATACAGAAACAGGTTTTAACTTTTGCTTTTTTCTTCTCCGAGTAGGAGTGCCAAATTAAAGCAACAAATGCTTATGTCGGGACATCTTTTTATCAGCTTTGGTCTTTTTTGGGGTTTGAATTTTCTGTTTTGAGTTGGTACGCTCAGCTCTTTCCGGAAAGATTGGCTTTCATGTTTGCCTCCTGTTAAACCTAAAGGAAAAAAGGGATCCGAGTTACGACTCTCAAAGTCATATTTAGAATCGATCCGCCTTCCCACTTTAACCAAGCCTACTTCTACTAGGGTTCCATATTTTGTTCTTTTTGTTTGCTCTCAAGAAGCATATAACACTTATATAACTTCCACACCATTTGATTCCATTGTAAAAGGCACCACTTTAGTTTACTTATTTTATCATATGATCATTTTTCAATTACAATTTTAATATCACCTTCACTTTTTATTTTTTTGTTTCTTCTGTATATTACGACATCTAAGATCATTATTCTGACTCTCTAAAATATCTTTATTAATAGACAGAGCTTGGTCCATAAGTATTTTACTTTGACTTCTTTAATTAACCTTCAAAAATCGCTGCGTATTTATATTTTACGAACGGATTAATACATCAGTAAATTCATTTTTACAATCAGTTACATGTTTGTATAGGGTATATCATCCATACAAATTATTTCGAAATTCAGATACTGATGAATGTGTGACATATTGTACCAAATAACTAGATATATGTAGTATGCATATATGTATTTATGATTCCAAGTCGTAATCGTGAGCCACACGGCAGGAAGCCATAATTCCAAAATGGAACAAAAAACAAGATAAAAGTCGTAAAGATAGAGATGGGGTTAGTTGGGGAGTCTTGTAAATATTGCGGCCTTCGTCCCCATCCACACAATTCCTCTTTCTTATATTCATTTATATGCAATGCATCATCTTCCCCCTTTCCCCTCATAATAATTATTATTATTATTATTGCCCTGCCCTACCCCCCCCCCCCCGGCACCTTACCGGACAAGCATTCAACCGGTGGCTGACCTGATTTTTTTGTTTTATTTTCCGGTGGCCTTCGTCTTATTTTAACGGGATTGAAAAGTTTTAGTTAACGATTCTTTTTTTGAAAGTAAGTTAACGATTCTAGTTATTACACTAATGCACAATTTTCATGAACGTAAAAATTTATTTTGCTTTTTCGAACCATTAATTTTTACCATAGGGTTATCATGATTAATGGGAAAGATTAGAATGCTATTTACGTAGTATATAGTACTGCATTACTTTTTCTTAGTCGAAAGAAGGAGACGGTAACCATATATAGCCTTAGGGGGTAAGTGTGTTATTAAAATGAAGAAATGCTATCTATAAATTTTATTCACTAGGTAAACTTTTATAAATAGTATTCTCTCTATCCAAAACATACTCTGCATCAGGCTTAGAAATTTGTAAGAACTCAATGTGGATTATTTTTTTGACGACAGAAGTTTTATAACAGATAAATTTTATATACACAACCAAATTCAAAAAATGAGACTGAAGTAATGTTTTCTCAAAGCTGAAGTAAGGATCCTATTGTAAATGTTGGGGGAGGGTTTAGGAATTAAATCAAAGGTTGTTAGTTTATTGACAGTTCAACACCTAATACGGGTTGAATTTTCAGACAACGGCCAAAGTTCGACGCCGGTCCGGGATTATACGTACACTTTCGGCGTAAAAGTCTCAAGCTGGCTTAGCTGTGTCTGTGAACGAGACGAAGGTCCATGAATCACATGGCATGTGAATAACAATTCTTTTTCTATAATTAGGAGTGAACTGAAGACATCATATTTGTTCTGTGAAATTAACGGTGGTATCATTAATTATTACCCTCTCTCTCTCTCTTTTTTAAGATAAATTATTACTCTCTTATGTTACGAATAAATAAGAAAATTATTTTGAATTATAATGTATACTTGAGTGACTGCTTCTAGGTTAAACCCTAAATTATGAACTTAGAGCGCGTTAATACCAGTTAATATTACAACTCTTTTTATTTTTCCCCCATACAGTAATTGCTCTCTCTCTCTCTTTCAAAGTATACTTTTGTTATCGAAGATAGATGATTTAATTCAACGCGAGATGAAGGCTCATTCTACCTCATTAAAATATACTATTTTTCTAGAATCATACTTGAAATATTACAATTCACAAATTGTAATACAAACTATTTTATGAAATAGAAGAATATTAATTAATATTATTAGACAAAAAAAGCGAGAGAGAGAGAGAGAGAAAACAAATGTAGTTTATGATGCCACAAATCGCATTAGCAAGGTTAATTTGCAATATCAATGATTTTTGAAGGGGGTATTACACTTGGTATATAAATGAAAACCATAGAACACTGCTCCCAAATACTCCCTCTGTCTCAAAATTATCGTCCAGTTTGAGATTTCACTTTTAGTACAATTTGAACTAGAAATGAAAACTCAAATTTGACAATAATTTTGGGATAGAGGGAGTAGTTTTTTTAGTCTAAATTGATTTTTTATTGATAATACTATTAATTATTTAGAAAGAAGGAGACTAAAGATGACAATATCTCATATGAGACTTCCTACATTATGAAAGAACAAAAGAAAGTAAGTGTAGGTTGAACTAAAATATATACTTGTTACTCATTGTATATATAGTTCATATACAGCCCAAATTTAAACACCCGACGTTTAAAAAAAGAAAATGGAACAGAAACAATCTCATTTTCGGGACGACGAAAATTTATAATCTACCGGTAAGATGACGCCGACTTGGACCCAGCCACCGATTCCTTTAACGTAGGCGCAGAGTGCAGACACACATAAACAGGAAGCAAAAATGCAGTGAAAAAAACGGTGGTAATTACACAAATCTATCGCTTCCCTTCCGGTCAAAGAAAGCTCAGATAGGGGTGGGGGTGACCCAGCAAGAGGTACTCCCTCCTGTTAAGCTATTTTAACTTCGTTCTAAGTTTTGTTTGAAATATTTTTTTAATTGAAATAAAAAACTTAAAAATATTTTATAATAATTAGAAAAATATAACGAATGTGAAAATATATTTTTAAATTTTTTTTAATTAAAAAATATTTTAAATTAACAAAAGACAAATCAAAATGAATTATATCAAGGGCAAGAGGAAGTATTTGAATTGGGTTTGTCCACCATCCAATTTCTCCCCATCCCCTCCCAAGAAGACAATGTAGCCCACCACATCAAAATGGGAAGGTTGGGCATTATGACTTTTTCACATCAGCATTTATGATTATGACACCATCTTTTTATTTTATGTCCAAAGATAAGAAAAAAAAAGAAGAAAACAAACTCACACCCAAAAAGAGAAAGAAAAGAATCTGGCAAAATTTACACCAACACCAAGTGTGTGTGTGTGTGAGAGAGAGAGAGAGAGAGAGAGCAGATTTGTAGAGATAGAGAGAGTGAGAAAGAGAGAAAAGATAGCACACAAAATTCCAGATGGATAATTCATCCTCTTTCTCCCCTTCCTTGTCTTTGTCAATCCACTCGGTCGGAGAGGTGCCCGCTTACATGATTCTACTATCCTCCCAACTTTCTTTCTCTCTCTTTTTTTTTTTTTTGTTTCTTCTAACTATCGCAATTCAAAAATTATTGTTGTGTATACCAAAGTGAAATTACCAAGTAGTGAGCAAGTGATTCACTATTAGTAACGAGAACATTTGGCAATAGTTGTAGAGAGTAACACTATGATCAAATAAGATCAACAAAAATATATGGTAGTAAAATTAGATAATGACTGGTACAACATGTATAGAAAAAATAAAATATGATGAAAATTTTAAGTTTATCAATCACTATTTACTATCTAGTTTCATAGTCAAGATTTATAAACTTTGTTATTTTAAAACGTTACAGTAACACTTGTACATGAACCCCCCCAAAAAAAGAGACGTGAATAAGTAAAACAATTAACTGACGACTCTCAAAAGTAGTGTTACGTGTTAAAAAGAGAATCACGTAAATACAAATGTCGCAGTATCGAATTTCGTGTATCTAAAATGTTTCATTCAATAAATTATACATAACGTCTGATTCGATAAATTTACTGTCTCGATCATTACTACTACGGAAGAAAAAAATCACCATTGTCATGAATGGTATTGAAAATCAAAGGCGGTGAAAACCTTGCTTATTATACATTGCCCTCTCTTTCTATTCTCTCTAGAACGTCCTACACACTAATATCTCTCTAGCAAGTAGAGCATAGTGGGAGCCTTTGGTCTTTTACTTGGTTTCAAAGCTCACCCAACCCCCTTCTCCCCTTTGTTGTCCCCACAAATCCTACCCCCTTTGTTCCTCCCACCCCTCCCCTCCCCTACTAGGTACTACCCGTTCACACCCACAAATACACACACTGACTTTTTATCACCAAGTCATATTAGGCAAAAATCCTTTGTCCAAATCCAATGGAAAGTTGAAAGAAACTCTTCTTATAAGCTGCGGTTTTGGTTTTGCTTTCTCTCTCTCTCTCTCTCTTCTCTCTGTATTACTGTAGCCCCCACCCCACCACCCCTCTTTACTGTGTGACTGTGTGTAGTGTCTTCTTCTCATCTTCTCTCTCTCATATCTATCCTTTTTATTATCTTCAAAAATTTTCAACTCAGCTCAGCTCATATCTCATCAGCTGGTTTATATTTCTTTTTTATATTTATTCCCTTCAAATCCCCCTCTCCACATTCATCCCCCGATCATCATCAATCAAATCCTTTTATATAAGTTTATTATTTTATATTTTGCCCAAAAAAATATTATAAAGAAAGAAAAAAAAAAAAAAGATCATGAAGGGAGACTATGTAAAAGAAGAACAAGATCATCATTCACACACTATGTTTGCCAAGCTCCATCAAACTCAAAAATTCCACCACCATCCCCACCACCCTCCTCCGCCGCATCAACCTCAGCACCACCACCAGCAACACCCACAACCGCCGCCTCCCGGTTTGTTCCACCACCCTCCTTTCAATCCTCGGGAATGTCAAACCTCCGAAGAAGTCGACAGCCAACGGAGTCCCGCCACCCCTTCCACCACCACCACCAACCGTGACCCTTCCTCCGCCGCCCAACACCAACAACAAATCGTCCATCTCCAAGCTCCTTCCTCCGCCGGCAACGACGGCGCAACCATAGAGGTCGTCCGTCGCCCCCGAGGCCGCCCGCCCGGGTCAAAGAACAAACCCAAACCGCCGGTCATCATAACCCGGGACACCGAGCCGTCGATGAGCCCCTACATTCTCGAAATCTCCGGCGGGGTTGACATCCTGGAAACCATCATGACTTTCTGCCGGAAGAGGAACACCGGGTTGTGCATCCTAAACGGGTCGGGCACCGTCTCCAACGTCACCCTCCGCCAACCTTCTACGACCCCAGGGGCAAGCGTGACATTTCACGGCCGCTTCGATATCTTGTCCCTTTCCGCCACCATCCTTCCGCCAACCAACGGTTACTCTGCTTCTGGTTCGGGTTCGGTTTCCAGCGGAATCGCAAACGGGTTCACGATTTCCTTAGCTGGGCCGCAAGGACAAGTGGTGGGGGGAACAGTGATGGGCCCGCTGTTCACAGCTGGCACCGTTTTCTTAGTGGCGGCCACGTTTAACAGCCCATTGTTTCATAAATTGCCGTTGGAAGAAGAAAGGGTACAGCATTCTGGGTCGGCGGCGGCCGGAGGAAGCAGCGGAGGAAACGAGGGGCGTCATCAGTCGCCGTCAGCCGTATCTGGAGGAGATGGAAGCGGTCAGGCAACTACTGGGCAAGCGGCGGTGGATTCTTCCTGCGGCGGCGGCGGCGGTGGCGGTGGTGGAGGAGTATCTATGTACAGTTGCCATATGGCTTCTGATGTGATCTGGGCTCCGACAGCTAGACAACCTCAACATCCACCGCCGTACTGATCCGCCGTATTAATTAATGCTTTTCTTTCATTTTTTTTTGGTGTCAATCTTTTAAGTTAATTAATGGGTTCTGGTTCATCTTATTAGTCTTCTTCATCATCATCATCCTATGGAACAAAACTGTTTGTTAAGCTTCCATTTGCTTTTGTAAACTTATGTTGGGTTCTTCTTTTAGCCTTGGTAGCTGTTTTGTTTAATGACTAGAAAGATCTTGCCTTTTAGTATTATTTTATTAGTGATGAACTTTTTTTATTCAACCTTTTACCCATCTATGCATGCAAATGTGATTGAATGGCCAAATTGTGTGAATCTTTCATGAAAACATGGGGGAGTTTTAAGCCAGTTAGGCACATTATGCTTGTTTTTACACAAAACTTCAAAACTGAAGGAAATTGGGTTACGTTGCAAAGCAACTAGGAAAGAACAATATTTGGTGGTGTAAATTGTAATGTAAATGGGAAGAGTAGTAGTCAATGGTATTGGGGAGAGTGTTTTGAGGGATGGCATTGAAAGATGAGACATACAGAAAGAGCCAATATATCTAATAAAAGAGAAGAGGCAAATGTCTTCTTATCTCTCTCTCTCTTTCTCTCTGCCCAAGCATTATGATTCAGTTTCTGAAATCTTTCTGATCATAACGTCTGCTGCTGCTGCTGCTGCAAAAGAAAAGAAATGGACATCTTTTTTCTCTCATGCAAGTTGTAAATAACAACACAACAAAACTGAGCTGGAAGAAGAAGAGAAACACCCCCACCCCCACCCCCTTCATGATTCGTCTTATTGATTTGCCAACCCTTTTTACTTTCTTTGGATAAAGTGTGGTTTTGATGAGAGAAAAGAAAAGAGTGCAGGGAAAAACGTGGACAGGGTTGTGCCTTGGCCAGCCTCACTGTTTTTAACTGAACAAAGGGTGCCATTCTTTTATCCGATGGATGTTTATATGTTTCTCGCATCTCACTTTCTTTTTTTGAACACTCTGATCAATGATCGTTTCTTGCTGTACGTTGGTGTGGTTTTTGACTCTTGTCTCTTTCTTTGGGTTCTTTTTCCTGTTTGATTTGATGAGGGTAACCTGCTAAAAAGGAGCATTATCAATATTGTGAACTAAAGGAGGATCGATGCATGATGGTTGATTTGTGTGGTAAGGGAATGTGATTTAGATTTGCTTCTCTCATTAGTGACTTTTTGGCGATTTTAATTCTTGATATTGTAGTAAAGTACTACTATTATCATGGACGTACGTATTTATCTAAACCCTAGTCGAACTCGGCTTTCATTTTCGATTCTATTTTACGCTGGAATTGTGATTTTTTTTTGAAGTGTTGCGCAAGTATTTCTTAATATGGTAGGTTTAGGTTAGTACGTTTCTCACAATGATCTTAATCACTGACATATATATACATGAAATGCAAGTTAGTCAGATGGCAAAAAAACAAGTTAGAATTCAAGAAAATTTATACGGTTCTATAAATTTTTAGATTGTCATTTGCGTCATATATATACTAGGTGTTAGACCCGTCCGATAGATGGGGAAGGCAACATATTTAGACATTTTTACATAAATTTTGTATTTTTATAAAATATGTAATGACTTCAGTTTTAAACATGATTACCTCTGAATTTACAGGAATTTGTTTTTTTTAAAATGACATTTTAAATTCACTGGTGATAAGGTTTATGCAGATCTCTCTAAAATTTGTTAGGATTTGGTACTCTCTCCAATCAATCTCTGTGTTAGGATTTGGTTCATGAAAATAAAGGTTTGGTTTTTATTATTTTGTTTTTTTTAAAAAAATTATTTTAGTTGCTTTTTTTTATTTTTTTATTTTGTTTTGTACATTTTTAAGTCTAAGAAATTAAGAAAATGCCACATAGAATTAAATCTTATGTGTCATGTGTTCCATGCCTTTAGTTTTTTCTCTATGGTTTTTGCCTTAGTATGGTATATAGATCCGTCTAAAAAAGAAGGTCTATTGCATTGATATTATACATTTTTTTTTGGGAAAAGTGCTACTCATATCAATAGATTCCGGAATACGTGGGAAGTTGCAAACTAAAAGAGTGTTGCCGATCGAGTCGTATTGTTTACTAAAAACACAATTTGGTTCTTTAAATTTATGATTTATATCTAGCATTTCATTTTCTGCTAATGAGATCTGGTTCTAAACTTAGTTTAAATGTCAGTATAATTTTGAGAATGAATCCAAATCAAAATGGGTCCTCCTATATATGTATACTTCTGCCGATAACCTTATTTAATTCGGAGAGTTGATCTGCAAACGTGGTAGTAAATTTAGGGCGCAAACCATATCTGAAAATTCCAATAATCTAACAAGAAGGAGAAACACAAATAATAATAATAATAATAATAATATAATAATATTATTATTATTATTATTATAATAATTTTACTTAGACACAGAAACAAATGAAGATACGATCCGAATAGTCTGATTTATTTATTCAAGTTTTGGCATGCTGTCATTCAGTGCGTGAATCATCATGGGAAAAAAAATCTTTTAATGCAAATATGTCGGCCTGACACGATAACCTATATCTATTTTTAAAGAAGATATACCCAATTAATCGGATCTGCATGGCTGAATTATTAATATATTGAATGAATATGTTTATTTTACCCAAGAGTAAAAATGCGGCTACTTTTCGGATTAATATATGATCCATCCTTACCTTAATGTGTTTTTCTTTTTTAAGTTTTGTTTAAGGTCACCATACATGTGATCGAATATGATAATGATGATATGTATACTCGTCAAAACAGTTGAATAAACAATAGAGAAGATTATATCTAGTAAAAGGAGTTCCATTCTGAGCTGCAATTATTTATTCTTTCTGGTTCTAATAATAAAATACAAATTTAAACTATTTTTTTTTGTTAATTTATGTTCTATAATTAGGAACAGAAGACACGAACCACGAATGCATTATGAGACTAAATAAAAAAAAAAAGAGAGAGACTTCAGTTGTATTGACGGTGAAAAATGTCTATTATATATGTAAATTATCAAGAAAAGGAAAAGCGAGAAAAATACGATCATCGTCGTGTTTGTTGAATAAAACTTTATTCATGTTTTTGTTTTTGTTTTGAAATTACTGTCTATTTTAAATTTTTTTTTTTAGTTCAATTGGACAATTAGTTTTTGAAACGGAGTAACCACCACTAGCTCTTGATACGCTTATATATACCATTTGGAAACATCATGATCATGATCATCATTGATCATGGCCTCAAAATTGGACCCTTCCTTTTTATTATTTTTGGGTGTGCAAATTGAGATTTCGAGTTCAACATTTAATTATGTTCGTCGGCTAAGCAGCTTGGTGAATCAGGTGCTCGTTTGACGAAAATGGCATCCTCCAGGCAAAATCATTGGCCTAATCCATCCCCAAAATCTCTACTGTCTCCGGCATGTTTTTATGTGATTCCGTGGTTTTGAAGCTTAATATCTCGAAAAGATTAACTATTAGTCGTATCTAACAGTTGGAAAATTAGTAATTAATTAATTATTAATCTTTCTGTTCACTGGAGATAATATTCATTTTCCTCAATTTTAAACTAATAGTTTATCGTATTGCACTAAAAATGGGACGAATTGATACATTTATCATTACTTGGTCCCAACTCCAAATTGATCAAATGGGCTATGACTATCCCGTTGTTTATATCGACTGTTGACTAAGGAATAATCGTACTTTTGACTTTTGCGTTGTTTGTCAAACAGTCGATCGAGCCGACCTTAGGTGTTACTAGTTTTTTTTAAATTAGTATTATTAATTTTGCATAGTGAGCGAGATTTGGCTATGAAAAACTAGGATTTGTGAGAATAATCGAGAAGAACAAAATTCATAAGACAAAATTAATGTGTCTGTATTACTTAGTTTCATTAATTCACTGATCTTGTATTTATCCAATTGAAGACGACTTAAGTCGGTTAACCGCAATAAAAAAGAAAGACCGATCTGCCCTTACTAACATAACTACAACTCTAATTGAAAAAGGGCATTTCTGTTCAAATACATTTACACTGATTTGAATCTGAATTTCCCGCGTCTTCCTTGGCTTCTTGATCATTTCTGTTTTGATCAATTTGATCAATCTTTGATTTCATCACACCCCCCTCAAGAGGAGCCGGGGAAGAATCCTTAAGGCTCATCTTGCCAATAAGTAATGAAAAGCAGGAGCTCCAAGGGACTTAGTGAACAAATCAGCTAATTGAGAAGAAGATGATATATGAGAAGGAAAGATGAATCCAGCCTTGTAAGCATCCCGAACAACATGGCAATCAATGTCGATGTGCTTCGTTCGTTCGTGGAAAACCGGATTGGCAGTGATGTGAAGCGCTGCCTTGCTATCACACCAAAGATTAATAGAAAGAGATGAAGGAATAAACAGATCATTCATGATGAAGCTCAATCATTTCAATTCTTGTACTGTGGCTGCCATAGCCCTATATTCTGTCTCAGCCGAAGATGTAGAAATGGTAGCCTGTTTTTTAGTTTTCCAAGAGATGAGGGAAGTACCTAAGAAGATACAGTACCCTGTCAAAGAATGTCGACAAAACTCACAAGACCCCCTGTCAGCATCTGAGAAAGCTGTGAGATCATAATCTGAAGTAGATGAGTAGAAGAGACCTTTGGAGATGGTGCCATTAAGGACATAGCAGCATTTCCAGTGACATTCATGAGGAGCATTGACAAATTGGCTGAGCTGTTGTATACCATATGTCAGGTCTGGTCGAGTAAAACTGAAATACAAGAGTCTCCCAACCAATCTTCTGTAAGCTGGTGGATCAGAATACAAAGGTGTGAGATCCTTCTTCTTAAATTTCAAGTCTCGGGGAAAAGGTGTGGATGTGCAATAGAATTAATTGACGGTTTCTGACAAGTTCCGTCAACAAATCCTAGCTTAACTTTCGCATTTAAAACAGTTATCATTGCCATTCTCCACATCAAGTAATTAGATGTTGCTAAGGGAGTACTGGCCAGAAACATACCAGGATTATCTAAGCCGTGGATTTGTATTTGTTCTTCCATGAACAGTTCCATTTCTTGATTTTCATTCCTCTGTCTTGAGGTTTCTTGTCCAATTTCATCAATTCTTGTACGATCGAGTCCAGCTCCAAGCTCATCTGCTCGAAGATCCCCACAGTAACTCGATCCAACTCGAATTGACTCCATTTTTCACAAATCCAGTGAGGTTTTATAGCGGAAGTATAGTAGAAGTGATTTCTCGGCTCAGATCAGGCAGGATTAACCTGTCTCTGATACCATGAGCGAGATTTGGCTATGAAAAATTACGGTTTGTGGGAATAATCGAGAAGAACAAAATTAATAAGGCAAAATTAATGTGTCTAAATTACTTAGTTTCATTAATTCATTGATTCTGTATTTATACAATTGAAGACGGCTTAAGTCGGTTAACCGCCATAAGAAAGA